TAATTCATAATTAAGTATTCGATAAGTATGGAAAATATTTGTTCAGTAACACATGTGTTGTGGCTCATTCAGTTTTCAGCAAACCCATGTTTGTAAATTTAAATTAGTAACAAACCAAAACTTAATTGGTTCAACGATTAGGTATATGGGTGATAAGAACATAACTTGAATTTTATAAAAGCAAAACGTTTTAAACAAATTCAAAAATTTAAAAGAAATAAAAATGATTTCAAGAAAGTGAGCTACTTACATTTAACAAATATCTTATATGGCCTTTTATAAATAACATAATGTACATTATTTAGCTTCGGTGCGATAGCAGGAAGCTATTAGTTTTACATAATAATGTGTTTATATTTTCAGGTCAACTCCAGCATATTAAAACAGAAAGCCAGGTTGCAGACAGTCTAACTAAACCGTTGGCGAGGCAAAGGTTTGGTAAACTGCAGTCAGCAATGGGAGTCAGTCAGTTGGAAGGGAAGCTGGACCTATAGAAAAGAGTATCCGAAGATATCCTAGTTACTCACTTTTTCACATAAAATTTATGTATTATTACTTTATCATTATTACTATACAACGTTGTGTTAATTGTTATTTTATCTAAATCCGTGCAACACTTAAATCGGTCTACCCTTTATTTACCCTCAAACTACCCCTATTCCAACTACGACAACATCAATCATTAGTATAATTTATAATTTATATAATGTGTATTTTGAGTTGTATGTTGCTTACAAATAATTTGCTGACATTAGAGACATCGGATTTTTTATCCATACCAATTTAACAATTTAAAGTTTTTACAATACTGGTAAAAACATAATGTAATAACAAATAATAGGTTCTTATTTTAAATAAAAACAAAATCAAAACGAAATCAAATAATATACAGTTTTTTATTAGACACTGAGCAGTGTAATATTACAATTGATAAATACATAGAAATATTTCAAATCTCATTATTATCATTATTGAACATGTCCGAGTAATATTGTAAAAATGTGTGCATTCTATCTTCAACTGTGTTAAAGTTGAGTGGTCTCGAGACGGTCTTGGCTATATTCTATGTCCATGAAAAATACAACTACCATGTATTCCGCAGCGCTTGTTGAATTAATACCTAAAAAAAAGAAAAAAGTATTTTTTTTTTAATAGGAGATGACCAATAATCTGCTTTAAATAAAACATTTTAACATTGTTTACAATAACTCACCGTCGAATTTCATTAAATAATATTTCACTTTTTCGTTAGTTTCTGCCGACTTTCCCAGCAAAATGTATGCCATCTCCACGAAGTTGGCATACTCAGCAGGGGACAGTACACCGTTGTCGTCAACGTCGATCTCAATGAATTCTTTTATGGCAGTTATAATCTCGCAAAGACTTAATCTCAATTCCTAAAAAATTGTTTAAGTACAAATTTATCATAATTATTATTTAGTAGGGTTGATAGTATTACAAACAACACAGCGAAAAACTTTAAAATTGATATTACATTTTTCCTAACCGCCGTATTTCGTTCTGCAGCAACGCTCATTAAGTCCACCAACAACGTTCCAACGGGTTCTGTGAAAGTTTTAATAATTAGTAAGTCTCCAATTACTTATCCTAATGCAGCATAAAAATAACAATCGTTCATTCTTACGGCCGGATTCAAATAGCACTTTCAATTTATGATTTATGGCTATACCAATGTCATCAAACACAGTTTCACTTGCCGCAGGATGAATGCTGTCAGACATCTTATGTTCTTCGTACAAACTAACAAACATTTCTACTTGTTCTAGGGTCAGACCAAGGCCCTACAATGTATGAAAAAAGTTTTAACACAAGCATGCCCCCAAGATCAAGAGTATTGCACTTACTGCCGGTTTGATTTCCATTATGATCAACAAAAAATCCGCCGCATTCATTACATGATCGTCTAGAATTAAAGTTAAAATTAAAAATCGACTGCATTAAGTAAAACGCCTCCTCGGCATATGAGTATTACCGCCGTATTCGATTTTATATTCATCTATTTTTCGGTTCAAAGCATCTTTCATCGTTTTCCAATATTTGAATGATTCCGAAAGCTGTTGAAAATTAATATACTTTGGATGTTCATAAGATTCGAGGCATGTGTCGAACTCCTCCAAGAAAAAGTCCAGTTCAAAAGGCGTGAGTCCGTCAGCCTGAAACAATTTATACATACAGGCTGATAGCTTATAATAGCAAACACCCAGCCATTATCTTAAAAAATATCTTAGACTTTTTGAAATTATCCTTTTATAGTTTACCAATAGTTGGTATATATTTTATTTAGTGTTTAAACTACATAATTTGAGAACTTCAATACCTTGATATCTTTGGAGTTTTTGATGTTACCTTGCCCCAACGCCCTCAATAAATTATATAAATTAGTAGAATCGAACTGATCTGTATAAAAAATTTAAATAGTCGTTAATTAAGTCATTCACTTTTAATAAACTAGTCGTAACGATAATAATATCGTGCATAGCTGGTAGCTACCGTTAGTGCCAAACTAAACCTGTGAAGTCTAATTTGTCGGACAGCCCCTGGGTTAGGCACGCATTACAAATATAATAATATAATAATTATTAGAGGAGAGGGAGTGACACATCTCGCACCGGTGGACAGCATTCGCATCCACCTACATACTAATTAGTAAGACAAATAACAATGTGTTATATCTTTGATTTTCTGGGATGCTTATTGATGATTTTTTACATGGATTCGTCTTTTGGTTGGGGATCAATAAGAACATCTGTGCGTGTGGCGCGATCTAGCAGTTGTAAGTGATTATGTATTAGAGATAAGAGATAAGGACTCCTAATTAGGTACTCCAAATTAGGTACTCTTAATCAGGTACTGCTAATTAGGTACTCTAGAGATTATGGATGGATCGTTGAGAAGAAGTATGGTGGGATTATTATCAAGTTTTTAAACCTAAATGGTAACGTATATTTTTTATTAACTCGTGCGAAATTATTTTTATCCGCGTAGAGTACTCAACCACCTAAGCATCCATCCTTAATTAATTTAAACCTAAATAACTTTAAAAAAAATTATTCAACCAGTTAAAATGTTCGGTAAATTTTTCTCAATTTGAAAATTCAATTAACTATGTTCCTATTTAAGTTTAAGCCCTTAACGGACATAACGGTCGACTTAAATTGTCCGAAAGGTAGGTAATATAACTGTTTAACAGTATAATATTACTTTTCTCGTATTCAAAATCAACTAGAAGTGGTTTCCATTCCGTTCGAAACGTTTTTTCCACGACTTTTGCGATTGTCTTCTCGCTAATTTCGTTGGTAGACATTTTGTGATCTTCAAATAGTTTATTCAACTTTATCAATTGAGCACTGTCCAATTCTATGCTCTGAAATAAAATACAACGACTATCAACATTGCATTGAGAAAAGTACTGAGTGAACCTATTTCCAATGACGTGGCAGATTTTCACACATATCGTATTATATAATCGGTATGTACTTAATTTTTTGAGTTTACACCATCCGAGATGAATAATAAATAATAAATAGTATCATAATCTTACCCATGCCGACGTTAGGATATACACCGCGCAGACAGTAAGGGCGTTCTTGAAATGCATATTATATTAATTGTTTTTTAACAAAACTAATAAAAACGTAATCTAGTACTTTAAATAATATATATATCAGTAACTATTATTGGCTCCCAAGACGAACGACGAATAAACAGTATAAAAAAAGGTCATCTACGCGTCTCTGGTGTTTTGTTGATTCAAGCGCGAAAAAAACAATGTTTACCAAACCATATTATATATATATATTATGTTCTTGGATATTGTATTAGATTGCACCGTTATACACATTCGATGCTAATATAGGTCATTTGCTAGACAAATACAAACCGTGTTTTTTTTTGTAAATGTTTTTGAGCACTTTGTTTTTAACGGTTTTTTAAGATGCATATGTTTTTTATTTTACTGTCGGCTCACTAGTAAATGATGATAATATGCAATATGGTTTTAATGCATTTAGTTACAACGGCGTATAGTCACTTGATAGATTGTTTACTGATATGTTAATGTGATTTAGAAGAGATGTGATAAAAAAGTCGAGTTTGTCAGGAGGCCGGCTTGCATCGGGCGGCCAGTAAGTTGGTTGGTCAGGGAATATATAAATTAGTTTATTATTAGTAATTGCTTTATAAAAGATACGACCACGAGTATTTGTGTAGCTACCAAGTCCTTATATTTTGCGTTGAAGTCACCAACAGATATAAAATTAATTCCCGAGAAGCTCGTTTTTGTGTTGTTTTAACCCATTTCAGATCCAGAGAAGTAGTGATAAAGATGAAGTTGGATTTTGGTTAAACATCATTTTTTAGAAGAATTGTATTTATTTCTATAGCGAGACGGGTGATCAGTGGATTACTAAGAGACTTGAGGTCGTTTATAAAGGATGATAGCTGGTTTGTTAAGTTCATAAGAAAGCAATTTTGGAAGATAAATTCTGTATGGAAAGTTGTGGAAATCGGTTAATGTTGGTTCCAACCAATTAGGTTTAAGATTTGTACCCGTGTACGCCTAATTAATTGACATAACATATGACTATTCTTCTTGGATATTATAACCTATTTAAATTTGAATAACAAATTCATCGTCGAGTCAGCCAGACGTGCGTTAGTTAGCTATTGTATATTTTTCAATAGTAGTGTATATCTATATTACTAATTTAGCGGTTTTACTCTTTCTTTTTCTTTCATCCTTTAATAAACTATCTACGACATTAGAGGTTCTCTCTGTAAGTTTTTGTATTTTACAAAGGTGCTTTGTACACTCCCATCTTAGCTTTGAGAAGGTAATGGTTTTAACAAAATGTGTTTTTTTTTTGTGTTTGTAGGTGAATCGTATGCAGGTGACTTTGGTCAAGGCAATTATTATTAAATCTAAATGCGTCTTTGCGAATCTAGATACAGTAATAATCCAGCAAAGTATGAACCAAGCATAGTTCGAACGAAGCACTGTCCGAACAAAGCACAATCCAAACCAGTGCAATAAGAAATTACCAAAGGGACCCAATAGATGCGAATCTTTGGATACTGGACCCTACCTCGGTAATTTCTTACTGCGCTTGTTTGGTCTGTGCTTGGTTTAGACTCTACTGGTTTATACTGTGCTCAGATTTTTTATTAAAAAGTTAAGCATCTTATCTATTGGGACTAAAAGGCAGATTTACGAAATTTTGCTCTAAGCATTTATAATACTACTTTTTTCTATTAATTCTAACTAATTTTCTAATAGTTAAAAAAAAAATGGAAGTTTTAACTACCATAGAAAAAAAAATAGTAAATGTTTTCAAAACAATGTCGGTATCACTTTTTTTTTAAATGTAGGTATTCAGTTTGGTTGTTCGTGTTTTTACATGTTTGATCTATTTCCTTGTAGGGTAGTATAATGTATATTAACATAAGTTATAGCGAATACTTCCTATTTTATACATTAGTATTTTACCATCGTTTAAGTGTTTAAGATGTATCATAAAAAACATAATAGCAAACAAAATAAAAACTGAATATTTTACTTTAAAACTTATGTACATTCCAAACTAAGCAATAAGCTACTAGGTATAAAAAAGTTAAAATGTGTATTTTTTATTTACACTTAGAATATGAATATCATTTTCAGATATAATAATGCATGTATAACCGTGACCGTGACCGTCTCGACTATGCTCCTTCCCCATTATACCCCGACCCCACTGTACTAGCTTCGTTTTTATTTGTTAATTAATAATTGAGGGGGTTAAAACCATGGTGATGTTATTCATATTTTCCTAAAATTTTAACTAAGTATTATTCAGTCAGCCACATAAAATATGCAAATTTCAGTTATCTAAGTCAAATACTACAGTTCAATCAGTTCAACTAGACACATGAACAAACGAACTCAAATACGGTTTTAGGTAAAAACCATTTTATTCATATTCCGTTTGGTTGTTTGATTTTTTTCATGTTTAAACTATTGCCTTACACGGTAGTACCGTATTATATTCGATTCGTGATACATATTCGATACACTACGGTGTACAGGTTATTTACTAGACAAATACCAAACCGTGTGTTTTTATTTTTGTATTACTGTTAAATTATTTTAACATTGATATTTACAACGGCTTGTTTTTATTTTTTACACGGGTTTGAACCTACTATCCACAAATTCGCAACGAAGCGCTAATATTTTCAAAATTATTAAATAATATTTTCTGTGGTTCATGGTATTTTTCCTGAAAGTCCGTAAATTCGAAACCCTTTTTCCCCAATGCCTTTCATCCGACGGTTATTGTTTCTGAAATAGAAAAAAAATCTAAAAAAGCGCGATATCAACAAAATAGCGGGTGAAAATTTTTTGATTACCGATTCGCTTGATGATGATTTTGTGAGTGAAGGTAGAGTCGTTGTGTTCTCGATTTGGAGAAATTTAGAATTATTGGCCAGGAGTGACTGCTGATTTTTTGACGGGACTTTTAAGTTTCGATCGTTCTTTTCTTGTATTATACTATTATACTAAATCACTTATATATATAACTAGGTGAGTTCCACTATTTTCACACAAGATTTTACAATCCTCGGAACAGTTGCTGCTGTACCATTTGTTTATGCACTGCTGACATCAAAAGAGGCTGTTCAGTATGCCGCTGCCCTCAAGGCAGTGCAATTGTCTTTTGATGAGTACAGAATTGTTGGTGTTCTAGCTAGGATCATGACTGACTTTAAAAAAGCTATCATAAACGCCTGTGAAGAAGTTTTTCCAAACTCTCCTCTTAGTTGTTGCTTTTTTCTTCTCGGTCAGTCAGTTTATCGACAAATTCAGTCTTTTGGCTTCAAGCAGCATACAGTAACCCCAAAGACCGCTCATTGAAGGTCTATACTTGTATGATGCTAGCGTTGGCATTCGTGCCTTTGGCTGACATCCCTCGCATTTTTTCGCTATTAGAAAATGATACGCCTGAAGACTTACTACCAATTTTAGCACAATAATTTAACAAATAGCGCACAATATTGTTTAGTAAAATTTAAGTGCTGAATATTTTTTCGTTTATATCTATTAAATAATAAAAATCAGATAATAACTTTTGTTTTTATTAGACATCGAGGAGCATAATATTTTAATTGATAAATACATAAAAATGTTTAAAATATATTATATTATTATTTTGGTTATTGGACATATCCTACTAGTATTGTTAAAGCTTGTGCTAAAGTTTAGTGGCATAGGGACAGTCTTCGGTATGTTAATCAACGAAAAATACAATTTCCACGTATTCTGCAACGTTTACATTATTAATACCTAAAAGAAAGGAAAATTAATTTTTTTTTTAACAAGAAATCGATTCTGTCGATATTGTCGTTAATTAAAGCATTACAATACTCTTTAAATTAAATTAACTTCACCATCGAATTTCATTAAACAATGTTGCGCTTCATTGAGAGATTCTGCCGGTCCTATTAAAAAAGTGTTTGACACATTCCTGAAGTTGACATACTCAGCAGGGGACAGTACACCGTTGCTATCATCGTCGAACAATTTGAATTCGAAAATGGCAGACACGACCTCGCAAAGGCTTAATACTTTCGATTCCTAAAAAATTATTAATCAGTAGGCAAGATAGTATAACAAATATAACAGCAAGGAACTTTGAAATTTATAGAAAGAAAGAATTATAAACGAAATTACATCTTCCACGACCGCCCTGTTGAGTTCTGCGGCAACGAAGATTAAATCCATCAACATTTTTTCAGCGGGAACTGTGCGAGTTTTAATAATTAGTAGTTCTCAAATTTATTACTTGTCATATCTAATATAGTTCAAAAACAATTCTTACGGGCGGATCGAAGTAGCAGTTTCAATTTGTCGTTTACGGTTATACCAAGCTCTTTGAACACTTTCTCACTTTCCACAGGATCAATTCTACCAAGTAAAGTCTGATGTTCTTTGAACAATCTAACAAACATCTCGACTTGTGTTAGGGTCAAACCAACGCCCTACAATGTATGAAAAGAGTATTAATACAAGCACCCCCCCCCCCCCCCCAAGATCAATAGTTTTGCACTTACTGCTGGTTTGATTTCCAACATGATCATCAAGAACTCCGCCGCGTTTATTACATAGTCGGCTAAAATTGAATTAAAAATGACAAAATTGTCTACATCAAGTGAACCGCCCCCCTTTGGCTTAAAAGCATTACCTACCGCCGTATTCGGTGTGAAGTTCTTCTAATTTTCGGTTCAACGCATAATTTATCGTTTTCCAAAATTTGAATGCTTCCGACACCTGCTTAAGAGTAAGATATCCCGGTTGATCATGCAATTCGACGCATATATTATCGAACTCCTCCAAGAAAAAGTCTACTTCTGAAGACGTGAGTGTTTTAACCTGAAAACAAATTCTACATATAGGGCGATTACTTATAACAGCAACTTCTTAGATTTTTTAAAATTATCCTTTTATAGTTAACAATTCACCCGATTTTTATTGCATTTTCTATAGAAAAAAAACACCATATCTTATGTGTGAGTCATATGAACTTAAGCTTTTCAAACGATAACGTCTATATGTAAATATTTATTTAAATAGCAAATAGTTTGCTACAAATTTCAACGGGTCAAAACACAACTTTGAGTAAT